AGTGGATAATTAGATAAATCTTTAGCCTCACTAATTACATTTGCTTTGTTATCCATTCTTTGGGAAGGTATCTAAGAATCTTATATACTCTATTTTGATTCTTATATGTTTTCAAAGAGAATATAATGTATTAATTTTGTTTATAAATCTAGTATATATATATATATATATATGAGGCTTAAGATCAAAATACACCAAGAAGAAAATAGATCACCAAAATAATCCAAATGCTCGACTTAATAAACAAATGCATTTTAAATCAAAATTTTAAGCCTATATGTAAAGGGTGAGGGCCAATAATTAACTCGACATTTCTAGCTACGCTAAAAAAAAGGGACTAAAACCAATCATCTCACATCATAAGAATCACTCGATCCCTCACGAGGGATCTTTTCACCTCTCTCTCTCTCTTCTCTCTCTCTCTCTCTCTCTCTCTCTCTCTCTCTCTCTCTCCTCTCTCTCTCTGATGTTGTTCATTCATCAAAAGTTTTTTAATATTCACTCCATTTTTTTTTAGTGGGTGTTTGATATTGGTGTGTAAGCTCATGGCACATACGAGAGTCTTATTCTCTTAAGAATGTATTGATTTTATTTTTCAAAAAAAAGGAACAATATCTAACAATGGTGTTTGGTGAGTGGATTATCCTTTGTGAACTAAACTCTTAGAAAAATCATGTGCCATAGTTTATATGTCGATCTCCTTTAGGATGTCAAGCCAAAAGAGAAAGAGTTAAGGATCTGATACCAATTGTTGGATGACTATGGCACCCAAAGATGGAGGTGAATTGGGGTTTTTTTTAATTTTTATTAAATAAGACAATTAATAAAATTTTGATGCTAATTGATAAGGGAAAAAATAAACATATAATTTTAACATAAAGTAAATTAAAAGAGGTGCAAGAAAATAAAACAGCATGCATAATATTTTTACAAGATTCGACCGAGATTCTAATATGACTTGCGTTCACGTTAGCCAACTTTTGGACTATAATCCACTAATCCCAGATTTTCCTTTAAAAACTAACTTCTTTAAATCAAATAAGCTTCTTACAACCTAAGTACTCTCTTACTTGGTAAAGTACAAACCAATCTAATTATAATGTAAGCTTTACTAAGCCAAATGACTTAGATTAAGAAAAAGATAAATACAACTTCTTGTAAAAAATATTAGATCAAATTATCTTACAATAAAGAAACTAAAACATTTGAGGTGATTTTGTAAAATATTGATAATCACCTTACCACTTCCAAACGGAATGTGAAATTTTCTTATTATAAGATATATTTATATCATGATATACGTATGAATAACATTTTACATATAAAAGTTTTTTGTTGCTAATTTAAAATACAACTAATTAAATCACCAAAAAAATATTTAGTGAAAGAAAATGAACTCAAGAACTCAAAGAGAAGTTACACAATTTAGTGTATTAAAGCTTTCAAAATAAGGATTTGGTTTTGTAAATATAAAGAGCACTTGGAATAAATATCAAATATTCTCCTATCAAGACTTGGCATGTAAAGAAGAAAAGAGGAAGTGAGAATATGCTAGAATTTCTAAGTTTTGAGCAACCCGAGTATGAAGAGAATGAGGGGTACTTATAAAATAAATATAAGTTAAGATAATTTTAAAGAGAACTAATAGTCTAGCACTATTTTATCAACTAATAATTTAATATTTAATAAAGAATTCATTTACATTAAAGAAATAGAAGTTTCAAATGGCTAGTCACATGGGTAAGTCAATAAGTCTTCACATAAATTTGAAAGCATGCAACATGACTAGCCAATTTGAAATATTAAATCAAGTAATGTTAGAAAAATCATAAAAAAATTCAATTTAACTTCAACATGGGTCATGGAACCTATCAATTTGCATCTACAGAATCTGGAAAATCTAATGAAATACAAATGAAGTAGTAAATCAACCATTATAAAATCATATGTATTAAAATAAAGAACTTATGCAAATATTTATCTATTTAATAATATATTAAATATTCATACAAAAATATGATGTAATTTTTATAAATTCATTTGTATATCAATAAATTATTAAAGAACACTTCAATTCCAAATGAATACATAATAAAATTTTATTCATATAGGCTTATTACTTGTAATTACGCTAATTAAGTATCTTTTTGTATTTGAAGAATTTTATGTAATATATGAAGCATGTAAAATTTATTTAATTAAAGAATCTTATTTATTTCTAAATTATGTTTATTATCATTAATTAATAGTATGTAAAACATATTAATAGATATATTGGATTGTGAGAAAACCAAACCATACAACTAAATATGTATGGGTCTCTAAGATACTTTTAAATGAATATAATTATTTCTAAAGCTTCAAGCCATCCATCTTAGTCCATCTTCGGTTCTTCTATGCTTTGTTCAATGTACATCCCATATAAGTAATCATCTTCCAATGTATGGAACCAATGCACCTAAAATACTTAGCATATAGATTTAAACATCCAAGCATGCATTTATTATTATCAAAATCAATAGAATAGGTCATGAGGCTCATAAAACCAATAAAACTATCTCTGTTATACGTTTAAGTGATTTGGAGCTATGGCGTTGCATGTGGCACTATGACTTTCAGGTGATTTTGCATTACGATGCTAAGATCTCTATTTTTGGCCTGATTTTTCTCTATAATAGTATGTGAGATTAGTAGATCCTCCGTTAGGATGCTTAGTTTTGTATTTAGCTCTGAATTTTAATACTAAATGCTCTGGTGCTGCAAATTTTTTGTCTGAAAATTGGCCTCTTTCCTAAGGGATTACTGCACAAAACAACAACTTAAGAACATTTTCATAACAAAATTATGATATAAGATGTAACTAATTTTAACTTAACACGATGCTATAAAAAAGGAAGAAGATAACCAAAGCAATACAACTTATAATTTCATTTTTTTTATTTTAATTATTTTTATAATTGTGACAAGTACATGATTTGTTGAACAACCAAACACACACACATAAGAGTAAAATAAGTTAAGACCAAAAATAAAACTTTAAAGTTAATTAAAACACTTAATTTACGGCAAGATTGTAGAATACGGCCTTGTTTGTACTTTACAATATACATAACATATTTGTAATTTTGATAAATCAAGTTATCTTAATTAATAGATCGTATAAATAAATAATTTATAAAAACTAATCATATTGTAAAACCTAAGATGGACCGTTCAATAAGTTATATTCAAATTAAACCCACCATTGATCAATTATTTTATTAAATAGTAAATTTAAAAGTAAATAGACCGTACTATACATTTCATACTTTATTGTATTATTATCTATAATATTTACCTATTTAGTACCTGAGAATCTATGATGTTAATTAAAATCAAATTATCAAAATTTTGTACTATATTATCTACATCATATAGTCTTAAGAAATAAAGGGCATATTGGGAACAAGTTGATCTAATATCTTGGTACATGAGATTGAACTAATCATATTATAAGATCTATATCATACAATCTAATTAAATAGAGAATAATTTTTAGGGTTTTAGGCTAGTTGAAAATTTTGTGCCATGCAATATGTTGGTAATATCGTACATTTAGGCCAATAATTATAATAGTCGTCCTTTTAAGATTTTCATGAGAGCCACTCCACATATACTTAATGTTTAAGAAATCCTAATGAGTTTGGAGAGTTTTCAATGTTGTTGAAAGTTTCGAAGAGCTTTGAGAGAGGGTTTTCACATTTTTGCAAAATATTTTTGAGAGGGCTGAGAGAGGAGAGATTTGAGAAGCTTATGAGGAATTTCTTGAGAGACTTCTTAAAATTTTGGTGAGGTGTTCACTTTTGTAGTTTCTCCAATCATATCCTTTTTTTCCTTGGGGTTGTAGTTGAAGCACTTGTTGGAATGCTTTGATGAATCTTGTTATAAAGGCTATGAAGATCATGGGGTGATCTTGAATACCTTGTGGATCTAATCAGGAAAGCTAAGGTTTGTGGAATTTTTGAGGAGATGAATTGTTTCTCTATTATCTTGTGAAGAAAATAGATTTCTCCGCCTTGCTGGGAGCAAAAGAAGAGAGTACTAGTGGAAATCCCAATGAGAGGATTTGAAAATGAGCATAGGCTTGTTAGTTGAACAACTATAAATTAATTTTTCTCATTCTTATTTATATTTTTTTTATTGCACTATTTTTTGGGCGGTTAGAGGTGATATCATTGTTGGAATTCATATTTAAAAAATAATAATAAAAATCCTAACTTGTGATAGAACATTTGTCACTTGATCTTGTTAAGAAGCATTGCAAAAATATTTTTTAAGAAAATATACCTTTGTTTTATTATTTTGGTTCTTAATTTAAAATTAATTATTTTAATATACATTTGTTTCTAAGAAAGTATTATTTTTTCTATTACACAAAAGAGGAGAAATTGATGTTGTAAGGCTTACACATAATTTTAAATTTTTTAAGCCACACCAATTGATCCCCTTCTTGAGTTTGTTGTACAATTTTATTTATTTGGCATAAAAATTATGCTATTTGATTTCTATGCTTGTTTTACAGTTGTAGGGGCTTTAAAAATACTGACAATCACATCTCCTGTAACATCCCTACTCAGATTAGATGTAACTTTGTAATGAACATGTTGAAAATTCTAGTAATCTTCTTTTAAATGTGATTTTACCTTCATTATTATCTGCAATTTGATTCTCTGGGTTGCTGATTTTTTGGTTAATGGAAAAACTTAATGCAATTATTTGAACACATTATTGAGATGCAACTTATTAAATTTACAATAGGCTTTGTTGTAAGTCTTAGCATTGTCAATATCTTCAATACCATAGTCCAGTTGGCATAAAATGCGCAAAATATTTAGATGATGATATTCTGATCAAATTTGAGCTATGACGAATTTTAAAATAGTTGAATTTATTTTATCATGACTATAATATATGAGAAATTATTCATATTTTATATTGAATTCATCTCAAAATAATTTAGCTAATTTGAAAGCCATCATGAGTACAAATTTATTTATGATGACAACCAACTAGAGAAGTTTATTTTTATACAACAACCATGAGTCGACAACGGAGAACATGAGTGATTTACAACCAACTGGAGAAGAATATAGAAAAAAGATGCAGAGCTTGGCAGGAATTAACCTGACAGAATGTGAAGAACTGTGCTCGCTAGTTCTTCTTAGTCAATGGATACACTGTTCACAATTCTGGCTCCCCTTCCCTTGGCCACATAAAGTCCCATATGATGAAGCAATTCCTACAAGAATTTAGTAAAATACAAATACAAATTTTATTTCAAATCATATCAATGCCAGTTAAATATAATTTCTTATTGTTTGTATGGAAATAAAAGCATATGATGATTGGTAAAGCAATAAAAAGAGGAACAGAATAAAAAGAATCCATATGATTCAAACCTGGGGATGAGCTAAGGCTCCTTTGATATGTTTAGCGACATGAATGGGAAGATCATAGGTAGCACATCCATGTGAATAAATCACTACATCTTCCAGCGGGAGAATCCGACCAATATTTCGAGCTGATAAAATAGAGCAAGTAAAGTCCAAAACACAAATATCGGTGCATATACCGAGGACTAAAACCTGCAACAAATAGTCATCAATAAGAACAATAGTGTCATCTGAATTAAACTTTTATGTATCAAGAGTATTCACTACAGAAAACGTCAGCTAAAAAGCAAGATCAAAGGTTTTATTTGGTAAAGTGCAATATAGCAAAGCAGCGCAAGTTCTCTAAGTATTCGCCAGCAAAACAAAATTCACTTATATTCAAAGAGAGTTCGTACTCACAACTTTGATGTCATTTGTTTTCACCCAGTCAACAAATAGATTAGAACCATCCTTCTCCGTTGAGCCAATGAATCCATCAATACAATCCTTACGCTTTAATGTCACATTTGGATCCTTCTCTAACCACTGTAGAGCTGCATTTATTCATGTATAATAAATATCTCATAATTGCATAATAAATTAATAAAAGTAAAAGGGTACCCTTCATGCAACATATCAAATAAAGGATCTTTGTGTGAAAGAAGTATTTAAAATGTGAAAGGACCTATGACCCATTGGTTAAAAGAGATGATTGTATCTTCAAGGTCACGGATTCAAGCTCACCATATTAAAAAAAAGGGACAAGTATATAAAACAGTAGCAAAGAAAATTGAAAGAAAGCTTTAAATGGCAGAACCTGGAACAAGATTATCTTCTCCAGAGCCAATTATACAATGAGGAGGGTATGGGGGCTCTGGTTTATCTGGGTAATGAGAGTCGAGAAAAGCAAAAACAGGCCAATTCCTCTCACAGAATGCCTTTGCCAGCCTTGATGCCTCCTCGACCATAGTGGCTATTTGTTTATTAGGTTCACGTGGAGCCTTCAAAAACAAAGCATCATCAATTAACATCAAATTGTGTAAATTATTACTGTTCATGACAAATTTCTTTAAAAAAAACACAAGAAACTAAAGCGTAATGATGCGGATTAGAGCAGATCAGCTATATGTTAAAAGAGGATTACCGCAAAACAAAAACTGACCCCCGAGAAGCAATTCAAGCTTGACTGTAACTAGAGCAACGAAATAAAATAAAATAATGAAATCCGTTATAGGGAGTATTTTAATTTAGGTAGCAGCCAACTAGTTTTTTTCCTACTAATAGGTTGGTGATCTCTCATATCTTGTTTTTCTTCAGGGCCTGCATTTCATCTTTCATGACACTTTTTCAACTTTCATCAGATAAGGTCTCAAAAATATCATTAGGAATATGAATATCATTTAATATAACTAAAAAAATTTTGTCTGAAGGTGAGAGTTATGGAATGATACAAAGTTGGTTATAGGGTATAAGGGAGGTTTTCGGGTGAACTTGTATTTACCTTAATTTCAAGAGATCATTCAAATTCTTGGATCTTCTCTGGAGCATAGTTCGGATTTAAATGCCTGAAATACACTTACCCAACCTTTTATTATCCAAAATAGCTTTGTCCTCAACTTCACTGGCTTTGATTTTAGGTTTAAGTGTATTGGTTTGGGTGGAGCTAGGAGGTTAAAAGGGGCAAGCTCACTTTCCTCATCTTCCTCAGTTTCAGTCTCCCCTCCCCCCTGAAGATGAGATTTGGTAAAATAGGATTTTTGTTTATCAAAGCTAACGTCAACAAATACATGAATTTTCTTGGTGGAGGGATGATAACACTTATATAACATTTCTGGGTGGATGAATATCCATTAAGGATTCATTTGAGTATTCTTTGATCTAATTTTTCTCTATTTTGGTTGTGAATGTAAACATAGGCAGTGCACCCAAAAATTTTGGATGTAAGGTTATTATGGGTTCGGAATTGGTAAAAAGAAGATAGAACATCTATTAGTATTTTTAGCCCCAAAGTTTTTTTAAGGTAGTTGGTTTATAAGATATATGGCAGTCAAAAGGGCTTCCCCTCAATAAGATTTGGGTACATTGTTGTGGAATAGAAGTGCACGGGTGGAGGCTAGAAGGTGACCATTTTTCATTTATGCAACCCCGTTTTATTATGGAGTGCGAATACATGAAGACTCATAAATGATGCATTCTTTTTAAATGTAGGAGGATGAGGTTTAGTTAAAGAAATCTTTAGCATTATCGGAATGAAATTTTTTTATTTTTACCCCAAATTGGTTCTGTATCATGGTATGAAAATGAGGAGGGTGGTGCTAACAACGGATTTGTTTTTGAGGAAAAAGATCCAAGAGACTTGAGTGTAGTCATCAATGAAGGATACAAACCATCGAGCCCCTCAAATGTTAGGGATTTTTTAGGATCCCTAGATATCACTATGAATAAGGTAAAAGATAATATTACATCTCTTACATTTGTTTTAAAAAGAAACTCGTTTATGCTTGGCTAACTAATAGTTTTCACAATAAAAAGATTCATTTTTTAACTTATAAAAAAGTTTTGGGGAAATATTTCTTAAGACATCCAAAAATGAATGTTCTAATCTAAAATGGTTAAGCCAAATAGAAGTTTTTTTATAAAATAGGGATAAAATAGAATAGTCATTATTTATAGCATTAGATTTATTCAGCTCTTCCAAGTAGTACGGTCCATTTGTCTCCTTAGAAAGTCTAATCTTCTTCACCGATTCCTAGTTCTAAAATAAGCAACAAGTAGGGTTAAATAAAACATAACAACTATAGTCACTGGAAAGTTTTTGTATGGAGATTAGGTTTATTGATAGTTGAGGTACATGAAGTACATTTTTTAGAGGGATGGAGGGAGATAAAGGTAGCGGTGTAAGTGAACCGAGCCGACTCGAGCTCTACTCGTTAACAAGCCACGAGTTCGGGCTTATTGAGCCACAAGTTCGAGCTCGAGCAGGAGCTCAAGCTTGACTCGGCTCGAAAGCTCATTGAGCTACTCGATTAAATTAAAATGTATTTTATAATTAATTTAAATTAGTATTATATAATATATTTTAATAATTTTAAAATAATTATAGATTCAAAGGGAAAAACTCCTAATAGTAAAAACATTGATGGTGGGATTAAAATGTACAAAAAAAAATAAGAAGATTTATTATAAAAAATGTTTTAAATATAAAAAAATTGATAATTGAGAAAGATATAAAGAGACCTGTAAGGAGTCTAAGAAAGCAAAATGTGATACAAAAATTTATTTTTTAACGATTTATATAATATATTAGATACTTGTTGACCTGCAGGTTATATCCAAAAGAAATAAAAAAAGAGAAAAGTTTAAAGCTCTTACCTGTTATACAACGTCTCCCGTTAAGTCCTCTGCCAAATCCCGCGAATCCAGCTGAAAAATCTGCATACCTCGTTCGATCGAAGAAATCCCGAAAATTCCGTTGATTTTATGACACTGCTCTGATTCACGATCAAATCCCTGATATCCCGCTGGCTGGAACCTCGGACATCTCTTCCCGCAAATTCCGCTATAGTTCCTCGTTCGCTGCTCCTCCAAGTCGTTAAATACCGAACCAACACAAGCTCTCTTGCTACTCTCGGCTTTCCCACGCAACGAGCACTGCTCCCTCTTCCACGCCTCTCCTCCAAAGTCGTTCGGCCCAATCCCGCCAGCGATCTCCTCCTCCAAGCTGCCAGCCTCCACTGTCACAACCTCCTTCCACGTTTAACCCCTCTTCCACCTCCGACCTCTCGGCCGACCCGCACAAGCACAGAGAGAGACAGAGAGAGAGACTTCTCCATACCTAGCCGGTCGAACCCTTCTCCGACTCCTCCTTGGCCGGACGGCTTCGCTCCTCAGACGACTTTCCGTTCCGGTTGGAGCGGAAGTTACGCATTTCGATCGGAAGCCACAAGGGGAGCTCGCCACTATGAAGTTAACTTCCTCCCGTTCGTACGTTTCTCCAACCCCGTCGCTGCTGTTCAACTTGGCTCCGGCGATGACTTTCCTCTCCTGTAGAACCGGAAGTTACAACATTTTGATCGGGAGTGAGAACGGGAGCTAGCTGGTGGTGAAGGTAACTTTCTCCCTTCACGTGAGCTTCCACGGCCAAATCCCTTGAATCCACCAAGCCAAGGGATTAATTTTTTTTTTATTATTATTATGAATAATTTAATTATAATTATATTAATTAAATATAATTAATTACAATTATTATTTTTAATTAATCAGAATTTATAAATTAATTATTATTAGTTAATATTAATTAATTATATTTTATTAAAATTAATTAATGTTAATTAAGTTAGAATTAATTCTAAATTGGTGGGAAGGGACCCCGATGCGGCACCTACGGCGAGGCGGGGTCACTTATAAGTACCCCCGAGCGGGGGGGAAAGAAAACAGTGCATTTTTAAACAGGTACCGTCAAAGCCCGTGAAGGTACGAACTCTCTAAACTCAGATTCTTACATCGTTGTTTGCAGCAGACCGGAAAAATGCCTATACACGCCTTTATTTCACGTGGTGGGATGGGACGCCGGTCCGATGCTAACGACGAAGCGAGCAATCACCTAAACTCTACTTCGGCGTTCGTGGCGCACCGAAAAACCGCCTATACACTCCTTTATTGCGCGTGGTGGGAAGGGACCTCGGTGCAGCACCTACGGCGAGGCGGGGTCACTTATAAGTACCCCCGAGCGGGGGGAAAGCAAATTGTGCATTTTTAAACAGGTACCGTCAAAGCCCGCGAATATACGAACTCTCTATACTCAGATTCTCGCATCGTTGTTTGCAGCATACCAGAAAAATGCCTATACACGCCTTTATTGCACTTGGAGGGATGGGACGCCAGTCCGATGCTTACGACGAAGCGAGCAATCGCCTAAACTCTACTTCGGCGTTCGTGGAGCACCGGAAAACCGCCTATACACCCTTTTATTGCGCGTGGTGGGAAGGGACCCCGGTGTGGCACTTACGGCGAGGCGGGGTCACTTATAAGTACCCCCGAGCGGGGGAAAGCAAATTATGTCTTTTAAACAGGTACCGTCAAAGACCCCATACACGCCTTTATTGCGCATGGTGAGAGGAACAAAAAAATCACGGCCGCGGTGTCCTCGTCAGAGGACCCCTACCATACACGCCTTTATTGCGCATGGTGGGAAAGGCCCAGTTTCTCATAGCTTTCCTGTAAACGGGGGAGACGCCGGAAGGCTGCCAAAATTTCGGGTGAAATCGTACCTACACTTAATCGAACTCAAAAGAACGACGGATGACTTGTACTTGGACTCTTGAACAAAATCTAAATGAATTAATAAAGAGTTGAACCCAAGTAAAATGGAAATGAACTTGAACTTGCAAGGTGAACTTTGACATTGAACTCAAAACTTGTGGACATCGAACTTGAACAAGACATGGACCCAAGAGAACTTGATTGAACTCAAGGAGCTTATATTTGAACTTGAATGATTTGGACAACATGAAACTTGAATTTGATTTGAACCAAACTCAAATGAACAAGTGAGAACTCATAAAAAATGTTAAATGAATTCTCAAGACATACAAATGATGACTGATAGAATTGAATGGCTTGTAACATTTAAGAAAAATCAACTTGTAAGTGAAAATAGGTGATATCCGCGTCGTCATGCAAGCAAATTCAATTGCTCCTATAAACAAAGATATTTGGTTTGCACGGATAAATCACCAATAAGTGTGGCTCATTTTGTTCATTATAAATATAGAAGTGCATGCAACATACTACAAGAGACATCAAAGGAGCTACAAGAAACACAATGTCATATTTCTTATCAACAACAATTCAATTCCAAGAAGATATAATGACGAAGGAATTGCAAATGCTAATCAAAGAGGGTGATCCATTTGAATCTCATGCAAGCAAACAAATTTCAAATCATGGTTTAAATCATTCAAATAAATCACCTTTGAAGATAAGGGACTTGCAAGTGCGA